CAATTTGAAGAAATTCCATGTCGGGATGTCCACCTCGCTCGATGCTTGCAGTTTGCGATGCATAAATTTCGTTTAAGTTTGTTTGTGAAAGATTTGGAACCTGGCGGTAGCACAACATTTTGTTTCTCAATTGTTTGAAAGCGACTTGTAGCGTAGTCGGAAGTTTTGAAAGAGTTCTTTGTGTGTGGAGATGCTTTAAGAGACTTTTAATATGTTTTCGTGTATTCTTTGTATAGTTTAGTGCTACGGGATATGTTTTGGCTCAAGGCCAATTCGTTTGGCTAGTGTGAGAAAAGGGTGCGAGTGTCTGAGAGCAGCTTGTGCAGCGTTTGAAGTTTTCCGAAGTATTCGGAGGTTTGAGAGAAAGGTTTCGTACCGTACCGGACGAGTGTGAGAGCCTGTTGTGAGCTAACGCTGTTTCACTGTAGAATCGGGGCTGTGCATGCTTCACCAAGGAACCACTTGTGACTGCCACCTTGCCTTTTCGCGCCTTTCTCTTGGCAACTGTTTGAGATGCACCGCCGCAAGGTCGCTATGTCCCTCCCCCTGGGGGGGGGGAGCTGCGTCCTGCATCTTGCTTGCTCACATAGCGAGGGTCGAGTGGCGCTTGGCTGCTCAATAAGTCGCATCGCAATTATACAACCGCAGGCAGCACTGTTGGAAGCTATGAGCCTACTTGTTTGGAGCAATTGGACTCCTTCCGCAGTGGAATTCCGATGCATACCTGCCTACCATCCACACTCGCAAGTGGTGACCCAGGAAGTTGGTTGTCCAAGCCTCTCCAGCCTTTGCAGCAATGAGGCATACACAGAGATGAAGCCTGGCTATCCAGTACCATGCTCTACACGGGTCGCGCAAAGGCACCCCAACACCTCGCAAGATTGCTGCCCGACCTTGATATTGTCGAGACATGCGCAACTTGCACTGAGAGGCCTTTTTGCGCAATTCGACGCCCCTTGTTTCACCTCTATCGTGTTGTTTCACGTCTGCATGACCCGCTTGAGTCTTGGCCAGGTTGGTTGCTCGCTTTGTTTGTTTGTTTGTTTGTTTGTTTGGTTGGTGTTTGGTTGGTTGTTTGTTTTGTTGGGTTCTGTGTTCTTCTCCTGGCCGATGACTCACCTGCAAGTAGCACAAGATGACCTGTACACATGGCGTCTCCACCCGTGCAAAAAAAATTCGCGATCTCTGCAGAGGGTTGCCCGTGGCAAAACCAACGCACTCGCCTGCATTTCGCGCCCTCGACACGCACGATCTCCGCAGAGGGTTGCCTGCGACAAAACCAAATCGCACTCTTGCCTGCAGATTCGCGCGCTCGACACGCACGATCTCCGGATTCTTCGTGAAAAAACATCTGCAGAACCTACATCTTCACATCTTCACAATCACATTCTCACACATATCTCTGCTCATCTTCACATCTGCACATCGACATCTCTGCTCATATTCATCTGCGCATCCACATCTCTGCTCATCTTTACATCCTTCACACATCTGCATCTCTACTCATGGTGCACCAGTCGCGATCGTGGTTCTTTCAGAAGTCGAACAACTTCTGTTCTTGTTGAGAAAGAAGAAAGCTTGATGATGTCAGCCTGTTGTTCCGAGCGAAGTTGTCCAAGAGGGGGGTGAAGAAATCCATTGGTTTTGGATAGCCACCTCGCTCGTGCTTGTTGCTTGGTTTCTGTTGTTTTGTGTTGTTTGGTTTGTGTTCTGAAAGTGAAGGAACCTGACCGCAACACTGCAGTTTGAGTCTTGAAGTTTTTCAAAGCGTTTTGTAGCGTTTTCGAGTGCATGCATATATACAGTCTTCGAATGATTGGTAACTTTTCTTGTGGCGTGTTTTGTTGTGTCAGTCAAACTGGGTGATGAAACCCGCCAAACTTCCACTTTAGAATGTGAAGTTCAAATCCAGTCACCGAGAGGCCATGTGTGCATCTGGCAATGTGGAGTCACGTCAAGAACGGGGTCTGAACCGAGTTCAACCGTGCTGATCAACTGCCGTGCATAACGTTGAGTAGGCAATGGAGCATTTCTGGATGCCATGGCCATCAGACGTCAGTCACACTGGGAACACTGGAGGAGTGGGAGTAGTGCAGTCAGGGTGTGAAAGTGATGGTCGAATCAAACAACTAGTGAAAACCACACCATCGCCGGCACCTCAGGGTGCGTGGCAGAAAAAAACATGACGAAACCTCAGGAGCACAGAACGAAAGACAAGATTTGATCCACACGCGGCAGCGGCTGTGAGAGGTGAAGCGCTCGATGTCAGGGCGTTTGTAACTACAACAGTATTCTTCTCCTGACAGGACACGACATCACTAACTCCGTGACTAGATTGCCTCTACAAGACCAAAAATATAGAGCCAACGAGAGTGTCCTGCAAGAATCTCCCTTAAAGTGTCCTGCAAGAGTGTCCCACAAGAGTGTCGCACGAGAATGTCCCACAAGAGTGTTCTGCAAGAGTGTCCCACCAGAGCACCGCACACAAGAGTGTCTCACAAGAGTGTCCCTCAGGAGTGTCAAAAAAAGTTTGGCCGTTTGTTTTCGAGTGCATGTTTGCATTCGGGTTCGTGGGTCCCATTTTTGTGACTGCAAGGTTTCCGCTCGGATACATGGTTTGCAAGCGGTTCATCAGGACTCCATGGGTGCCCTGGCCACAGTGGAAATGGATTACCGTTGATAATTTCCCGCTGTTTGTGAAACCCTTTTGGATTGTGACCTGATCAAGCTGTGATGAAAGCCGGGCGTGGTAGACAGTGGTCCTTGTACTGATCCCTGCACTTACCCATGTCAACCCATCATGTTGTGCAGTTGTTTGCACACTTTGTGCTTTGATGTCTTCGTTTTTCGCGTTCATTTTTGTGCATGTTTGGGGACTGAGACTTCATGTCACTTAGGCGCTCACCTGGAAAGACAAACTTGCAACAAATTGACTGAAATGTCATGCGCAATTCTTTCGGACTTGCAGAATTTGGTCATCATGAAACAACTTCCAACACCATTTGCAAGTCGAATGCGGGGCATGCAACCAGTATGCAAATATCATTGGACGCAACGTGCAAATATCTCAGCCTCCAGAACACCCAAACCAGATCAAATCAATCGTGCAGCAGTGTGGCAATCTCAATGCTCAAAATTGGTACAGTCATTGTTGCACGTAAATCATGTTTCCAGGGCCCACTTGGTGGAAATGTGTCCTGGTGCTGTCGCCCAATCAGTCAAACCAAAGTGTTGTGTAGAACAAGTGAATGTTTTCGCTTTGAGTGTTGTGCATGGAGATGTGATGTGTGAGTCTCCCAGACTTCCATTTGCCAGGTGTTGACAAGTCTTGTGTTGTTTGGATTGAGTTCCAATTTCCAGGTCTGCGGCTGGGCCCACTGCTGAAAAGATCTCGCTTGTCGGTTATTGTGACATGCATTGAACAGCAATGCTCTTTTTATTGAAGTGCAAGTGTGATCAACGAAAGGTCGCAAGGGAACATGCTTTGTAAGAGGTTGCCTTCTGACATATTGTAGGTTGTTTTCTTGCACGAATATCACCGAACAGTGCTTGCGGCCCAGCTGCCATATACGGTTCATTCACCACCACTCCCATGAAGGCGGCAAGAAGTCTGAAGTCATTCCGTCCAGTTGGTCTGCTGTTGAAGACAAAACAACTTGGTGTAAGAGTGCGGAGAGGGCCAGATTGGAAATGGGGCGCAGAAGACAAAGAAGGTGAAGGGACAACAGTGGACGGGCTAGATGCCGAGGGATGGATTCGTGTCAGATGGGACGGTCAAGAGACATGTCACAAAACCTACGGATACCGCATAGGTGCTCAAGGCAAATATGATTTGGTCATTGCTGATGGAGGTCTTACACTTGGATCCAAAGAGTATGTGGTGAAATCGCGGTCCACTGCAGAGTTGAGAAAATGCGAAGATGGCGAGAGGGCAAAAGGACGCTTTCTGGATGATGGTATTCCTGGTATGACTGATCAGGAGGCTTGTGCTCATGAGTGCAATGAGTTGTTTTGTAATTATTGTTGGGCTCCATGCGCTGCAAATAGTGGTGATTGTCCGACATGTGGCCGGGATGCAAGGCAAGTCTGGACAGCCCCCCCAGAAGCATGCAGAATCTCCAACTTCATGATTAGATGCCCTCGAGGTACCGAAGTAACCCTGCACCCACAACGCCCAGGACGGTACAAGGACACCCGCCTTTCCAAAGGCGTCAATTGCAAGGGCAGCAAACGTGACAAGAAACCGCTGGAGGAGCTTCCACTGCACCCCAAACATCAATGCAACGAGCAGATCACTTGTGAGCTTTGTGGGGAAAAGCTTGCTATGGATCAGCTTGATCAGCACCTCCAGCTGAATGCTGGGGCACATGTCATAGCTTTGGTGAAACAGAATCAGTCTTTGATGAGGAGGGTGGCACAGCTTGAGGAACATATTGCAGCAAGATCGCTTGAGGTTCCACACAAGACCTCTTTGGGATCATGAGCCTGTCCTCTGGAATGCCACAGGCATCGCAGACACATTGATTTTTAGACCCGAAGGACTAGAGACCCAAAATGGGTGAGGCAAGTCTAGTTTTCCCAAAGGGAAACCTTAATGCAACCTCTTGTTATCAAGAGGCTTCAACTTGTACAGAGAGCCATCTCGACAGAAAAATAGCACATGGATCCACGCCAGGAAACTGGTTGGCGGACTTTCATCCACTATTTAGATACCAAATTGATTGGACCAGCTAGGAAACTTTGAAACTTGTGATAATTTGCAGCATATGACGAGGAGCGTTCAGCCTCAGTCACCTGGCATGACAAGCACTTCTCAGCCTGTTCAATCCGAATTCATGAACATAATGATATGACCCTCTTGAGTGAGCAGGCGGCTTCAGAATATTGGACAGCATCCACTAGCTTTTGCTATAAACCTGCATTTGAGGCCAACATCTGTTGTATTAAGCAAAGGGCTAAGGCTTCCTACTTACGGCTATGCTTAGAAGTGGCAGAAGGCTTTCAACGTTAGATGGCTACTGTTGGCGGGCTTTGGGCGACCTGCCTTGGCCATGAGCGTGCCATTGGTAAAGATGTCGTGAGGACAAGCATGGTGCAGGGTGCAGACTTTCTTGGCAGCATTCAGAATGGTTTCATTCTTCAATCACATACTTCAAGATCCACTTGTTGCACATAAAAGTGAACAGTGTCCATGACTTTGTGCATTCAAGAGGCACCTCTTTGCAATCAAGGATAAGCACCAGTCCCAGCGCTTTGTGGACATCAGGAAGGCCTCGGATCGGAATTGCAGCCTTCTGAATTCAGGAGTTACTGTATGGTCGCGGACAATTTGCAGCATGGACTCGGTAGTGCAGAATTGCTGCAAGTTGTGCGACACACTCTCAGCGCTTTGCAGTTGCCTCGTGTTATGTTCTATTTTATCGCCTTTGAACTCGAAGGCGGTTTGCCAAATGCCAGCGTGCTGGGGCTCAATGTATCATTGGAGGCGGAGATGCTTGGGAATGCAAACACAAGTGAGCTGAGGTCTCTCTTTGACCGTATGATATAGTATCAATCCTTCAATTCAACGTGAAGTGAAGCACTTTCGCAGCTTTAGCTACACAAGACACCAACCTTTCCGGTCAGAGGTTTCACGTGGTGACAAAGCCAGACATATGAGGTGTTCGAGTCAGATGTTCAGTGTTGTAGATATTGGGTGAAGATCAAAAACATGCTCAGTTGCATTGTGCAGATCAGGCAACTATCATCCCTCGACTAGACATCTCATCTTACCATGTTTGCCTCTCTGTCCGTTGCAATTGTGGCAAGCAATCAGGCTTCCTATGCGCAATTCCACTTCGCAAGAGATGCCGCAGCTTTGCAAAGGTTCACTTAGCTTAGATTCAATTGCTGGATAGGGAAGGTATGAATTCAGCAGCACGTGATGGCGTGCAGAAAAAAGACACATGAATGATTTTAGTAGCTAGAAGTTCGCTTCTTCATTGTAGCATGCTTGAAAATTGTTGAGATAACCTTCATGAAACTACCTTTCGTCACGGATTTCCGTTGCGTTCAACTTCTACACCATTCTACACCGCACAGCAGAGTTATCGGATTCTCCAGAGCTTGTGTTCTGCTTTGATGTTGCAAGCCTTGTTGTCTTTCTCGTTGCCAGGGACACTTATCTGAGAGCAAGCCTGGGAACGGGAACGAGTGCTTCAGCCCTTTCCCTGCCGGCCATGCTGCTGGATTGAAGTTTGAACAGAGGATGACACTCTTCCGATAAGAGGTCAGATTTCTATTTCGATCTGCATGCTTGGTACAGTAACAACGAATTCATGGCGCGGTCAGGAAAGCATTGAGTCTGTAGCTTCCGCAGTTGTTTGGGAGGAGGGATATCTAACCCACAAATCCTGCACTATTTATGGAGCCTGATACATGTAACCATCTCCTGGTCTGAAGTATTGACACGAGCTCTGTCCTGACGATTAGTTCTAGGGCTCCATCATCAAATCACCGCACACATTTGAGGACTGGCCTTCATCTGGTCTTTTTGGGCTGGTAGATAGCAAAGAAGACTTGGCCACTTTGCTGCCACTGGTGGATTCTTGAAGCCCCACCCTGACCTCCGACGGGTAGTTGGCTTGTGATCTTGAGGTCCTTCAAGAGGCATCCCATGAAAGGCTTTGATTGATAGAGATATAGATGTATCATGCATGGCAAGGAACGAGGGTGGGCAAGGCAAGTTCAGGATTTGACATATATACCTTGCTGTATTTTATTGTCGAGATCCTATGTTGGAGGGGTGACGATGCAAGGGGCTACCTTTCACAGATCAACGGGAAAAGCATGTTCCCAAATGTAACTCTTCCTTGACCCCACAAAAAGGTGCTCTCGCTTGCAAGCAGTTGAGACATGCTTGGCACCAGCCCACTTACTGATGCTTTTCGAGCCAAGAGTGTCTTGCTTGCTTTGTAGAACTCAGGAACTCTACAACTCTGTCGTGCGATTCATTGGAACTCATGCTTCTAGCCTAAATTCTGAAGCAGCAACTGGGAAATTCAGCCTGTGCAAAGATCAGCACCTTTCCTTTTGCTTTTACTTGTCTTGTGTCTTCGCCATGCACTTTCAGAAACTACCTCTGGCTGCTGAGGGAACGGGGCAGTCTTGGCAGATGCGCCAGGCTGGAAGAATAATGGTTTGATTAGCTGACTAGCTGGGATGGCAATATACTCTAGACTCTAAAGCATTAAAAAAAAGTCAGGTCGAACTGATCAGGTGAAGTTCTGAAGTTCTACACCCGAAGCGTCGAGGAAATTGTCGAAATGTCGGAAAGGTCTGGCAGAAGCTTGTTTGTCAAAAGGTTGTGAGGTATTCGGTATTCTTGAACCATTGGTTTGGAATAGACTTGTTTCTGGCAGTGTTTGCATTTTTGTGTAGATTGAGAGTTCGGACGCACAATCCCAGACATGCCGGTCTGAAACACTTCCAGTGCTATAGCATTTTCTATTTGTCTGCAACCACTGCTGCCGCTCGTATCAATGGCTGCTGACGAATTAATGACAAAGACTCCGGGGCACACTCAGCAGCAATTCTGTTTCCACTACGTTTTGGTCATTCCGAGTCTTTCTATCGCTTTCTTTTTCTCATCATGAAAGTGGTGCAAAGCCGCCTTGGGCACTTCTGGTCCAGCTTTGGGGCACTTCGACGTTTTGGATTTGGGGGAGCCCAACGTTCGCGCCTTCGATGTTCGTTCCAGGCCTTGATGCCTTCTGGACAGCCTGGAGCTCAAGTGGGTGCAGTCCTTTGACTGGTTTGGCAAACCCAGCCTGGTCCATTTTGGCAAACGGCCGCGAGTGGCTGAATCCTCACAGTTTGGACCGAAGGTTCTTTTTTTTTGGCAAAAGACACAATTCCCAGTTTACACACCATTATCAAGGCCTGATCGCCAGTGCGCTGTGTGGCCGGTGTTCAAAATCGGTGGTCTGAAGCATACGCACACATACAAGGCCGTCAAGAGTGCAAAACACATCAATGAGTCGACAAAAATTGGCTCAGAGAAGTGAAACAACTGAGGCTGAAGTTGAAGGTGATTGTCGAAGCGGGTCTTGGATGGCACACGATTCACTGGGAAGGCGTGGTGCGGCTGAGTTCGCACCTGGCGCGTGAGAGTGAGGAGATCCATACAATCCTTTGCTCTTCTAGAATCTAGACATTGGGGAGGCAGACATGGGTTTTGCTATGAAGTGAATGCACGATCGTGTTTTCCGGCTGTGATTTGCTGGGTTTCTGCTCTTGAACTGTCGCATCCCTAGTTGCCTCTTTTGACCTTGTCTCTCAGCTCCCTCGCGGTCTTGTCTCCAGTCGGATGGTTCATATCTTGCGAGACTGCATGCAACTTTTCTATGCTTCACTGCTTGTGGCTGGGTTTTCCATAGTAAGCGGCCAGTAGGACCAGTATGATCGAAATCAGACATTTCCTGCACCTGCGACGCAGTCGTCACCAGCTGTGACCTTGATGTGTTCTGTTTGTGAAAGACATGATGTTCAAACAGGAAGGATTGAAACGAATGTGCAACAGCCTTTCGATGAAACTCAAGGCAAGGAGATCGAGAGCCTCCACCTGGAAAAGGGCCAAGCTGGGCACAAGCAGATTTTCATTTTTCTTCATGAAGACGAGGGCTTGGGTCTCAGCCAAGAGTGCCACGTTGGCCACATTGGGACTTCTAATGTCACTTCATTGGGACTTCTTTGCGGCACCTACACAGAACTATTGCTTTCCAAAGTGGGTGCCTGCAAGATTGTCTTGAGCAGACATGTTCGGCAATGTCATTTTCCACAGCATCCTTGCACAAAAGCCAGCGTTGAGTTTGGTGGATGCTTGGGTTTGGGTACTCTTTGTCTTGTTTGAAATCAGTTGTATTAAGACGCAGGGATGCATCCTTTGCATAATGCATGTGAAGGCTGCGGATCCGAAGCCAAAGAAGTGCTGCAGCAGTTTTTCAATTCCTGTCTTGCAGAGTATGCGAAGGCTGGGGATCAGCACATATTCCCTTCAGCCCTGTCCCAGTGACCCAACACAGCAATTGTTCTCCATCCCAAAGCCAATGCAAATCTATTGAGCATACTGCAACATACTTTTGTTGAACTTTCAGCTGCATGAACCTTCCGGATATTTTGCTTGTGTTGTTCTCACACATGTTTTTTCAGGAACCGCTGGCGACCACTGACGATGCCATGGTGGAGACCCAGGCTGAAGAGGCCTTCAGACCAAGATTCTTTCAGAAGGTTTGTTGCGGTTCAGAGGCTGGTTCAACGTGTATACTGGATATATATATATATATGTATAGATACAGTATTCAGTATTATACTGTGTATATATAAATATATTTACATTTGAGAGATGTTTATTTTTCACCAAAAACATATTGCCGTCTTTGATTCTTCATTCCTGTCCTGACTTCAGGTGGAAAAACCCAAGTTTTGGGTACAAGAATTGGTTGAGGCGGCTCTAAGCTGCTTGGACTGATGCGACCCTGGTACAAACCTCTTTGAACATTGGGGACGTTTCATGTGATTCATGACAATAGAATGACCATGTGGACCATGTGGGACCGAGGAGAAGAGGAAGCTGAGGAATCAGAAACAGTCCAATGGAGTAAGCTGCAGAAGGATGAGGTACCTGCCAAGCTGCAACAGCTCATGCAAAACATTTGGATATTGGATGCCCAGAAGACAAGATCCTGGGACCCTGGGACTTGCAGATTCTGGGCATGTTTTCAACATATAACAAGTTTCAATGGTGCCCTAGTTGTGAGCCATGGCCATTTACTAGCTCGTGCTCACAGCACTACTGTATGTCTCTCTAGTGTACTTGGTCTATCGGCTTTGTTGAATACTTAATTGAGCCAATTACCTGTCATAGATCTTATACAGGCATGCTCCATCGAGCACCGAAACTAGTGATTGATAAAGAGCATATAAACAATGGCTACCACGACGTAGTGGCCTTTCCCGCCCGGCAGCGTAGGCAGAAGAACGTGGCTCCAGACGGCTAGGCACATAGGGACCCTCGTTTGTTTCCAGTTGTGGCTTATTGTGCTGAGATAATTCCAAGATATCTCCTTGTATGACAAACCCTTAGAGTTCGTGCTTTCCCAGACGGGCCAACCCCATTAGGAATATATTTCGACTTGTCAGAGATGAACAAATGCCTGATGAAAGGCCCACTGCTCAGAACCAAATGAAAGAGTGAAGGCATCTTGCCCAGATAGGAGATCTTGCCCGATAAGACTAGCTTATCAGACTGGCCCATTGAGATCGGAAGCGGTGTCAGCAGTGATTCTGCTTGGTGAAGAGGCCTGGACTTCGATCCCCTGGCGCCAAGCTGAAAAAGATGGCTTGAACTTCCAGGCCTTGAAGGTCCAAAGAGTCATTAGTCTTTGGAAGTCTGAGGAGGTCTGCCGAATTTGGGAGGCTGATTCAGGGGCAAGCGCAGTGATGGTTAATGCTTGTGTGGACAATACTTGTTATTTTATATTGTACTTGGTACGCAAGTTTTGCGGTTTATTCCTTCCTATCTCACTGACCGCCGTTTGGTGGCTTGCAGCTTGTGAACCTAAATGCTTCATGGTCCCTAGACTCTATTTTTCTTGTCAAGCAAGATCAAATAGACCCAAGACCCAGAAGGCAGACCAAAGAAAAGAATGACGCATCAAGACCCGGCCACTTGGTGATATCACACGACATGAAGCAAGACTAGAAACTTATACAACCTCCAATTGTCTTTTTTGGAGAGGCCGGGCATGCACAGCACTTTTCAAAGGAGGCAGATTGCTTGCCCCTCCAAAACCAACATTTATTCAATGGGTGCTGCAAAAGCTTTCAGAGTTTCCATGTCATCGGATTCTGTTCAACATCCAACACAGACTAGTTGATTGCCGGTGCACGACCTTGCTTTGGCGAGAAGCTTGACAGGTGTGGGTGGACGGGCAGGTACCCTTCTTGGCCCAATCTTGATTGAAAGACAAGGGTGGCCTCGACTGAGACCTGTACACATGAACTGAACAATACTCAATTAGCATATATAACATCTTCCACTTGCATCAAGCTCATTAAGGTCCTGTGTGGTGTTGCAAACAGTTGACAAGTAGAGGGTAAGTTCACGACATTTTTCTATAGTCGAGCTTTCTTCTGGCCTAGGTTTTCCACGATCTTCTTGCATGTGCTGCTTGTGTTTCGAGGTATTGTGGGAGAAGCTTCTTTGTTTTTGCTGCGTAGTTTCACTACTTTGCTGTGATAGTCCCTGTTTCCACATGACATTTACCCCCGGCAGGGAAAGGCCGGCTGGCCAACGAAGATGGAGTCCTTCTTTCGTCCCCAATTGTGTGGACTCCCAGAGAGGCCAAGATCATATTCTTCAAGAAGAAGGTTTTCTTGTTCTTTGTGTTGCACAGTGGACTTTTGAAGTCTTCCAAGGTTGACTTTTTAGCCTTTTCTTTTGGACTGAGGTGGAAGACGGAGAACATGCTGGGTGGCCAATCCGAGCTGTGAGCTTTTCATTGGGAGACCCTTTTATCCAACTCTTTATGATAATGAAAATGAAGAGACCGATGTGACAACTATGAAATCTGTCTCTTGCAAAGTACATCAATGCAACACAGATACCCTGTTGACACTTTTCCAGTAAATTTTGGAGGCTAGGTTGGTCATATTTTCTTACTGGAACTGCAATAACAACATGACATGTTCTTGTGAGTCTTTCACCAAGTGTTGTGAGCGGCTGACAGAGTGTGACAATTTCTGAATCGGGTGGGCAGTTCCATCAGCTGATATTGCCTATGTAGAAAGTTTTTGTGGAAAACCTTGCACCCTTCAAATATGAAGCTCGCTGGAGCACTGGGCAAATCCTGGAAGTTTGCAATGACTTGGCTCGCGCCTCCGCAGCAAAGAAGGATTCACTCCTTCAAACATATATGAGCTTCACATGTAGATTTTGCCAAGAAGCCTCATGACATGCAACTGTGGATTCTCCACAAAACCCAACAGCATGCATTGCAGAGTCCAATGAATTGACTGCCTAAATCTACGGCCAGCAAAACCAGAAGCAGTCATTTGCACTGTTTCTAGCTAGAAGTAGTTTTGTCCAGATCAACCTCAACGATAGGTTTTTAACAGCTAGTTTGTTGCACACCTACCAATTCAACAAACTAGGTGTTGCTTCGCTTCTTTTTCCGTCCTTCCCTGTGGAATTTTTGTGCTTCGTCGCCATGGCGTCTGATGGTGCGGTGCCGGCGCCACCGCCACCAGCACCTCCAGCAGCTGCGGAGGTGAGGGACCAAGGCGGCGGTGATTTAGTCGCTTACTCTCCCTGAATTTAGGCACCGGTAATGGGGATGGCCTCCAACCTAATAGCGATGGCCTCCACCTAGGCGCCTACTTAGTGAAGTTGGTAGGTTTTCGAAGATCTCAATTCGTGATACCTCATAGCTGTTGGGGTTCTGTTCCTATTGCCATTCTTTGTGAAACTGAACCACACTGAACATCACTTTGTGACGGAAAGCAGGGCTGGGGTTGGCTCTTAGAGGCCAGGCCGGCAGCCACTAGCCGCTAGCCTGTTGCCCTCGCATTCTTTTTCGGGGGTCAGTTTGGGCAGTGAGAGGTGAGGAACAAGACAAGTTGAGTAGCAAGGACGTAGAAGGACTCCTTCCACAGATCCAAACCTTTCTAGATTTGGAGAAACATCCAAAGCTGCAGCCACTTTGACGTGCCAGCGTTGGGCGTTTTCAAAACACTGAGGCCACTGCGCTGGGCGCAGAGGCCGTTCCCAAGCTGCGCATAATGTCAATAGCGGTTGTGCAGGTCCCAAGGTGTTTTGTTTCTAGAGTTTTAGTTGGAGTTCTTGCGCATAAACCACGCTGTGTGTCAAATTGCAAGCGGCCAGAGTGTGGCTCCGATCCATTCTGTATCCTTGTTGCTTGCACCTGACGATGCTGCCATTTGCCATTTGCAATGTTTCTTCATAATGTTTTGAACAGGTGCTTCAGCACGGGGCGTCCTTGATCTTTTTTGCCGATGCATTCAATCTTCCAAGGTCCCTGCCTCCGAGCCGGTCCCTGCAGTCCCACAGGTGCATTGTTTGGCCGTTGGTGTTTGCTCAGATGTGAAGCTCTGGTGAGTTTGATTCCATTGCAAACTCAAGAACTCATTTTGGAATCCGTTTTTGATAACTATGGTCACGCTGACTACAGGAAGGCGGCGCAGAACCTATGGATACAAGCATAGGAGCAGCTGCTGGTGCCACCGAGGTGCAATAAAGCCTTTTGCATTTGGGGTTAGTTTTCACAACTTCTGGTCGAGTCTGCATTTGATCGAATCAACGGTTTGCCTGAGCACAGGATTTCCTTTGATAGATGATAACAAGTATGTCTTTTTTGAGCGAGGGCATCTATAGCACAGGTTGCTGCACTTAGTTGCCTTTGGGCCTTGCATGGGTGGCAAAGATGTTGATTCTGGTTGAGCAAGTTGTTTTCTAGTATATAGTACGTAGCTAGAAGCTACTAGGTGGAGGCCATCGCTATTAGGTTGGCCATCGCTAGTAACAAGAAGCTATTAGGTAGAAAGACAGCAAAAACAGGCACTTTAGTGTTTCGTCCCAAAGCTTGTCCTTTGTTCCGGCGATGCAGAGGTAGCACCAGAACCGCCGAAGGTGCCAGAACCACCAAAGGTGCCACCGGGTGTGGGAGAGTCGCGTTGCTTCGGTCGGGTTGCCAGCACACAATGGCAGAGGCGAACCCACAAGCGATGGCCTCCAACGTAGTAGCAAAAGGAACCTAGAAGGAATGGCCTCCAACCTAGTAACGTTCTTGCTCCTAGTAGTAAGGCCAGGAGCCCCTAGTAGCTTCTTGTTACTAGTACAGTAGTAAGGCCAGGAGCAAAACAACTTGCCAATGTTGAGTGTCGTGGAGGTTCATGGACGAATCGGACTTTGGTTGTCGTGGAAGAGTGGACAAAGATAACGTTCGGACGTCCTTTATTTTTTTTAAAAGTAACTTCTAGTGACACTCAGCAACACCGGAACTCTTTAAGGAGCTTGAAGAGCCTGCTGCTGACATTGCAGGCACAGGAGGGATGGTGAGGCAGTCTTTGAAAGCTTGTTTCTTGTATCCTTTGGAAGTAGACTGGTTTGTGAGCATTGAGGGATTGAGCGCATTGATTGAGAGGTTGAAGTTCCGGGGAATTCAACATACAGCTTGGGTAAAGGGTTCCTACTGATACATAGTGATCACGTATTTCTGTCAACTTGCACCAAACAAGGCGTTGGCTGCAAAACAACGGCAATACTTGCGCTCTTGCATTGAAGTTTCGTGAATTCACGCTTTCAACATATGGACGATCTCCAACTGTGTAGCAAACTATTGATTACTCAGACTCTTAAAACACGATAGACTTCTTGGGAATGTTGCCCGCTGCAGGCCCTACTTTGACGCAGGAGGCTAGCGGTTGAGTGCTGCAAGCCCTTTTTAGTACTGTATATACTGTGTCATGAGTTTTGAACATCCTCCTTGAGGTCGATTTGTGTTCTTTTTTCCAGAATTGTAACTATTGCAGTTGTCGAAATCCTGCGCAGGCTGGCTTCAATACGGAGGACACTACTATGAACGTGGTGCCTTCGCAACGTGTCTTGGCCTGCCACCTGTTGCTTTGCTGTCAAGCAGGCCCTAAGATCTTGCACTGCTTGAGATTGTACAGTCACGAATCCCGCAAGGCCGCAAGGTTCATTTGTTGAACATGCGGTGCATTTCTCTTCTCCAAAGCCCAGCATGGCTTGGATTGAGGTGGCAATTTGCTGATGATGCTTACAGATGGCGGCATGCAGTCGCTTGGCATTCACACTTGTTCAGGAAGATGCGCCAATGACTCTGAAACCAGTGTTTGATGATGCGGTGGTTTTGTTTTATGAACTGATACTGTGACTACACTATTTCTAGGTGCGTGGACTGCCTGGACTCTTTGTGAGCCTAGGCTTTTGCGTGTTGTGTAGCAGTTTCTACATTTGCAAGCGCCTTCAACGTTCAAAGCCCGGGGAAGCTTGGGTGTAAGTCGCCCCAAGAGGCCTATGACAATCGATATCAGTCAGCCAATCAGTACCAAGGGACTGGTCAAGACCCTGTCACAGTTGATTGTTGAAGGTGTATCTTTGGGTCTTTAACCCACGTGTTTCTCGTCCTCCAGCTGAACTGCCCAGGTACTTGCTCGCCGGAGCTCGAGCCAATGTGGGCATGAAGGCAAAGAGCCTTAAATCCTGTCGTTCATGTTTGTCAACTTCCTGTTTTTGCTTGACCCAGGTTGGGAGTATGTATGCAGTTTTCATATAGTATGCCTCCACTTTCTTCAAACTCCGCAGAAGCAATTACTGTATAGCTTTCTCACAAGCTTTGGCTGCTAAATGTAGCTGCCTCAGCTTTTCCCGCTTGATCTCCAAATGAGCTGGTTTCACAGGACTTGTCCTTTGGCCTGGCAATTATATAAGTAGGTTTCAACGAATGTCCCATGTCCTGTGACTTCCATTCTAACTCTGCACATTTGTGTGACTTGTTCAAGGACTGCCCCACCTTTTTGGCTTCGAAAACCCACTTGAATGGTGAACACCCAGTTGGGCGCTGCTCTCTCAGGCTGGGCGCTATTTCTACGAGGTGAGAATCGTGGAGATTCTGGATCCTTACGACTCCCAAGGTCCGACCGTGCCGGCAGCGACATGCAATGAAGACAAGCAGAGCCTCCGTTGACGCTTGCAAACTTGGTAACTCACGCTGCTAGATCCTGTCTTCGTTTCAACATGAAGGCGCTTGAATGGCCAAACACCTCGGGTCTGAGAGATTCAAGCTGCAGGTCAATACACTCGAGTGGTGCATCCTCGGAATTTGCTTCGCTTGGGCTTTTTGGACTTTGGCCTGTGTCGTTCGTTGTGGGATTCACTGGCAAGAATTAGAGATGTCACCAGGGAATCTAGAATTAGAAGTTTTCAATTCTCCAATTCTCAGGAAAGCCAACATTTTTAGCCGGCACCAGACGTCAAGAAACAGTGGGCACAGGATTCTCTATACCAAGTTGGAAGTGAAGATACAAACTTATACAGATGCATGTGCCCACAAGATCCTTTTTGCATCAATGCGTAGACTTATGCCGCTTTTGGATGTCATGGAGCTTCCTCAGGTTTTGGAACGAGCACCTCCTCTCTCTTGCTTGGGGACAGCGAGGAAGAGCCGATCAGCTTTCAGCAACTGTGGTATTTTGCTGGCTCACTGACTAGGTAATCAGCTTGTAGCAGTTAGACAAGACCTATTTGCAATATGGAATAAAATGTTCCGCCCTTGAACATCTTGGCTAGACCCTATCCCTTGCAAGTCATTGAATTTACTTTTGGGGCTCAAAAGGTTCGAGAAGACTAGTCGGCAGCTCTTTGTAACAGCACCATTGGACACCATTGAGGATGCAAGAGTCCAACTCCAGCTGATTGCCAGGATTC